ATAATATTAGAAAATTGTTTTGCAACCACTAATGTAATATTTATCAGTGGAGTCAAACCACTGGGTGAGAGGCCGGTAAGCAAGATAGTTATGTGGCCCCAAAGCACCATCCTAGAGAGCGCATTTTCCTCACAATGGAAACAAGATATCTCTAAGTACCTGGAGGAGAAAGCTGGCGGGGGGCCACCTTAACCAAGCGATCACACCAGACTCACCCATAATGGGACAAACCAACTATAAGTGCCTTGTCAAAACCATTTAACATGAATCTAATCATGAGGAAATAATCAGAGGACACACTGAGGGCCACTCTACAAGACAACTGATCCAGGCTGCTACAGACTAAAGATGTATGACAGTAAGTGAAATCAATGCTCTCTGACTGGTTTCAAGAGTGAGGCATTGTCATAAAGGACATTATTGGGTCGACTGGAAGAATTCTGATATAATGTTATTATATTAATGTTAAATTTCTTGGGAGTGATAGTGATGCTGTGGTTGTGTGGAAGAGGGTCTTTGTTCTTAGGAGATGCCTGCTGAAGAATTTGGGGGTAAAGCGTCATGCCACTTGCAACTTACTTTCAAATGGTTCAGAGAAGAGTCTGTGTGTGTGTGTGTGTGTGTGTGTGTGTAGACAGACACACACACACACACACAGAGCAAATGTTGAAAAACTAAACAACTGGTGAATCTAGGTGAATACATTCACTGTACTCTTTCAAACTAATTTTTCTGAGTTTAAAAATTTTCATAATGGAAAAGGTGGGGTGGGGACTTAAGTTCACACTGCAAGAAGCTGGTTACATTGGTTGCCTGCGGGCAACTGGGTGGCTGGGGACAAAAGGAGAGAAACTTTTCACCATAGTGTACATCTTTCTGTACCTTTTGAATTTTGAATGAAATAAATGTATTAGCTATACCAAAAATAAATAGAGTTTACATTTTAAAACTCATTCCTCTCTAATATTAACTTGCTGAATTAAATTTCCCCAAGTAGACAAACACCGAAGGATAATGGTATTTTTGTTCATTACAATGTTCTATAAAGTAATTTATACAGAAATTACAAAGTAAAAGAGTCACTGTAAGTGTGTCTGGATGTCCTGGGAGTTTAAACGTTAGATGACACCTCAACACTACTTTTCCAACCTGTGCTGCCTGCAAGGCTGCGTCCTCCTTACTCCAAAACACCCGATGCTTTAATTTTTCTGGAAAACCTACAGCAGGAACACACCTGCCATAATGCAAGAGATCTAATCCCCATTACCCTTTGGCATTAGAAGTCACAAAAACATTATTTTGGAGCTGCCAATGTAGGCTTCTTGTTACCTCTGGATAATTGAAACTTCAGGGGGTCAGAGAAAGGGATTTTTTTTTTTTCCCTCAGTGAAGCATTATTGAAAACAAAAAAAAAAGAAAAGAAAAAGAAATGACCATGCTTTGGCTGATTATGTGTAATTAATTATAATAACAAACATAAAGTAGATCAATATATACAGATGTAAAGTGGTCCTCAAGTTATACGACTATGTAAAACGGTGTATGCTGTGTTGCAGAGGTAAATGTATGTGTGACATCTGTGCTGAGGATGCAGAGGACACCTCTGGGAGAACAGAAAGAACCTAGAGACAAACAGTGGTGGCTTCTGGGAGGGAAACTTGGGAGAGGAAGACTTGCTTTTCACTCTAAACTATTTTGGAGCTGTTTCTAATGTTTACCATTTACACGTTTTACTTATTTTTAAAAAATGCATCAATATGTTGATAAGTGCTATCCAGGTATCACCTCCTTGATGTGGGGTAAATTTTTTAAACTAGAAGAAAACAAGAGTAATCTGTAATTCCCCTACCCAGAGAACTGCTGTTAATGTAACAGGGCGCTTCTTTCTAATCGAGTTTCTGGGTGTTTCATAAGCAAGAGGGTTTTCTGCTTTTTAATTCACCATATTGTCTCTCCTCAGCATTTTTCTAAAAGTGAAAACAAATTGTTTATTAAACATCTTACAGTTAAACGTGCAATCTTAATATATACATGTTTAAATGTGCACTTTATTTTGTCAGCCTTTCCTCAAATCTTTGATTATTTTTCAGAAACATTTTAAATGACTACATAGTACTTCATTATAGCAAATAATTCTCCTATTATTGGAGAATTACTATTTGGGTTTAGAAAACTTTTTTGCCACTAAAGTGTAGAAGGATATTGCTCTATAGCGTGCTATATGTGAATAAGAAACAAGGGGAAATAAAAAAATATACATGCATCTGCTTATTTGTGTGAAAATAACAGAGGATAAATAAATGAGAAACTAATGAGATTGGTGAATGAATACAGGGGATGGGTGAGAACTGACTGGCAGGAAAGGATGGAGGGGTGAGAGCAGGAGAGGGGTTGCGGGGTGGGCCTGCCCCAGGCACACTTTCTGCGTAGCCCTGACTTTCGAGACCATGCTAATGGTTCACTCATTCAAAAGAAATTAAACAGAGGGTAGAGAGGAAAGAATCCTAAAATGAAACACAAACAGAAATAAATAAGCAGAAGTATTGTTCAAATGAACAGCACAACCACACCAAGAGGGGGAAGACGCTCTCACCCAGGTAACTTTTGAACACAGTATTTTGAATATATACCTATAGGCTAAAGACAGAGCTTTAAACCAATACGGAAGTCTAATTAGTAGGTTTGTTTTTCGCAGTGGTATGAATTTGCAATTCTTTTTTTTTTTTTACATAGGGGAAAGTGAAAATGCAGGACCCCACTACCACAAATTGTGCAGCTGAGTTTCCCACATTTGGGGAAATCGCAGGGGTCAGCACATCCGGAGTGCAATGGATGAGCCTCGCCCTGGGAAAACCACCTTCATGATCATAGTATCTCCCCTGCCAGGTAAGTACTGAATTAGCAATTCTTAAACTATTTTCTATGTGTTCTAGGACTGGGAAAATCAGCAAATGTATTGTGGATCTGGCTTTCATATTGTTAGAAAAGAGAATTACAAATATGGAAAAGAAGTAGACTTGAGTAACAAAACTGGTGGTCCTGGATTAGAATTGGAAGTATCAACATGAGCGCTTGGTTTTTAATATAGTTCAATAAATAGCCATAGAGGTTGGGTCTGGGTAAATATATGTAAGTCCCATCCGAGACGACTTCAGTAGCAATGAATACGGAGTGCTCAGACCTTGGTTTCTAAGTACTGTTCTCCACCAGAAGGAATAAGGTTCCTTAAAGAAATGGTTGATTCCAGGTCAGGGGCAGGGAAAGAGAAAGATGAACATGGAACATTTTGTTTTGCCAGAAATTAAAGGAAGTGCTCAAAACATGATGGAAACATGTCAGAAGGGCCAGCAGCCAATTTGGAGGGGCACTCAATGGCCATCAAATCGATGTGAACATCAAAATAAATGACTGTAACAGTTTCAAACCCATTACATAAAATAAGAATCTATTTGAGTCCATACTGATATAAGCAAACAGAGAAGTGGGAAGTGGGAGAAGGAAAAGCTCTTCCTTAGAGCAGAATGCCAATAATTAATGTAGAACAAATGATGGAATCAGAAAATCTCTGTTTGGTGACCATTGGAATAGCTGATTCAGTTATAACTGATTCAGTCAGGAACTATCAATGAAAGCATAAACTAGTATGTGCGAGTCTGATGAGAAACTGGATATCTACATAGTCTCAAAGTATCTCCCAGAAGAAACTTACTGACGATACATCAGACACCACATGAAGCGGGCACCATCTTAAGCAAGTGTTCAAAGTTAACACCACCAGGAATGTGACGAGTCTACATCCTGAGGACAAATCGCTCTGTGACAATCCTACCAAAAATCTATAACCTGAATCTAATCACAGGGAAACAGCAGAGAAACCCAAACATCTTTACTTTTTCAATAACCTTGACATTATTTCAAAACAAACAGACACATATGCACCTTTGATACCAAAAGTAATACACTGAACAACTTTGCATAAATAATCTTTGTTTCCTTAGGATTTGTAGTGGAATTACTAAGTCAAAGGTATACAGTTTAAAAAATGTTGAAGTAGATGGTAGAAAGTGTTTGAATTCTTCTAAATGTGAAGGAGAAAGGCAGGGAAAGTGGAGGTCTAAGGAGGGTGGACTACTGAGGGGGGAAAGTGATGTATGAAACTGGAACTACACAACATGCTCAGAATGAGTGAGAATCAAGAGTCAGAGTTCAAGGATTGGCCGATGGGGTAAGGGACCAAACCTGATGATCGTTTGAAATGCTTTTCAGAAACATAATCCTTGTCTAGTTTTTCTGATTGCTCACAGTAATTCACCTGCACAGTGGCCTGGTAAGAGAAGGCTCAGGTACCTAGTCCAGTGCCCTGGATCCCTCCCTCCACATGCTTCCTGCTGGTGCAGGCCAGTTACCCACTGTTGAGTCACACTGGGTTCCTGAGCCTTTCCAGTTGGCACCCAAAAAATACGCTTGACTTCTCTACCCAGTCTTCAGTGATATGACCTAAGTGGCTTCTATATGATGTAAGTAAATAATCTAAAATAAGCTTTCCTTTTAAATGCCTATAATACATTCCATCAAGTATGTGTATCAATATTGGCTTTTACTGAGTATCTGCCATTTGCCTGGGCCTGTGCTGAGGGCTTTATATGGATTATCTCATTAATTCTCCCAATAACTCCATGGGATGGTAACATTATTATGTCCATCTTACTGATGAAAAAAAAAAAAGTCTAGAGGATTAATTAGGATAAGACCTGCTCCATGTCATAAAGCTTAGATTCAAATCTATCCATGAGTCTGAGTCTAGAGCCTCCACTCTAAACCAGAATGCTCTGCTGGGTGAAACATTTTAATTAAGAAGAAAAAAGGCAATCAATCATAAGTTGAACATTTTAAGATAATAAATTGGGAGCCTAGGATGAAAATTATATTCTAGTAAAAACACGTTTCATTTTTGCATTCTGTTAATCGTCCACACATTCACTTGGTAAAGGGGCTGTTACCTGACAGAAGAACTGCTGCTGGGCTCCCACCCCGGGTGTGGTGCTGAAGGTGCTGGTAGATTTGGAAGAAGGAACTGGAAGACGATGAGACACACTGACCGGTACTGGAGTCCTGTTTGGCTGGGTCAGCTGATCTCCCGTAAAGTTTGATCCTGTTGCACCAGACTGAACCGCAGACCCGAGACTAGGATGGGCAGTGCTGGAGGAGCTGACCACAGGGAACCGACTAGGTCCTGACATGCTCGTCACTGAGGGCATGGTGGTGAAGCCCGGTCTTCCTTGGGAGACGCTGCTCTGCCCAGGGGACAGGTGCAATACGGTCGGTGACGCCTGCTGCAAGGGCATCTGTCCACCAACAATCTGAGGAGAGGCGTGATTGACTATCACTGGACTTCCAGAGGCAGCGAATGTCTGCCCAGACACTAACTGGACGGCGGTGTTCTGGTTGTTAAGCATCTGTCCAGAATACGGTTGGTTGGTCCTGAGCATGTTGGAGGAGTTTCTGTTCAACATGACATGCTCTGAGGCCACCTGGCCAGAAATGAGCTGAGAGGGTTGAGTCTGAAGAAGTTGCCCATTTATGGTCTGGACGTGGTGTACCGAGTTGGAACTGACGGAAAGGCTTGTAGGTATAAGGAACTGACTTTGGGGTGTGTGAGGCTGGCCCATGGGAGAATGAATAACGATGCTGCCCCCCGCGCTGCTCACTGCCTGTGACGTGACTGGTTTCCTTGTGTTCTGTTGGTTGACAATGTTCACTGACATGTGCGGACCAACCACCGAGCCCTGGGGTGAGCTTGCAGAGGCGAAAGAGATCCCTTGTTGAACGTGGTGCTGCTGTATTCCCAAATTGTTCACATTGTATGTGTTTTGCTGACCCATCTGGATAGGCTTTGGCTGGATATTAATCGGGACTTTATTTGAATTTGGTGCAAGACCCCTTTGTATGATGATGTTATGCACAGGTAAAGACGTTTGAAAATTTGTGCTGTTAAATGGAACGGTAACAGGCTGTGCTACTGGACTGGAACTGGAGTTCCCAAACAAGGAGTTGCCGTTAGGAGTCTGTCTGTGAACCAGGAGCCCTCCACTCACATTTGATGGGGGCTGTTGCCCACTGCCCTTTAATATGATTTGAGATCCATCTAGGTTATTAATAGTCATCATGGAAGGTTGATTACCAAATGACCCAATTAACTGTATTTGACCAGAACCACTAATCTGACTGCTGTTAGACAAATGCTGGCTGGGCACACTGATCCCCACGTGGTGCATAAAGCCATGGTGCACACCCACTGTATTGCTTGCAAACGATGCTCCAACAGGCACATGAGTCACCCCTATAGGCTGCAGCGTCTGACCTGAGTAATTAGAAACATTAGAAGCCTGAGTAAAGGATGCTGATGAAGAGGGATGAAGCTGAGCTTGTGCAAACTGTTGGCTTGAACCTATACTGGCGTCCAAATATGCCTCTTCTGCCAATGTTTGTTCAGTGATATTGGCCTCTTGCAAGGATTTCTGAAGAATGTCGAAAGGTTGGTCCTCACTGAGATCAGGAAGAGGAGAAGACTCAAGTTCATCTTCGAGAAACTGAAGGCTACTTGAAAGTGGCAGTCCATCACTGGGCCCTTCTCCAAGCTGGCTGCTTACAGCTTTGAGGGATGACTTAGGATCAGCATTCTAAAAAAATTAGCAGGAAGTTACACGGCACATCTATCCTTTGAAAGAGAGATTCTTAAACAAAAAACTAATCTCACTTTTGAGTATGACTAAAGCGTAACAGGCTGCCTTTCAGGCACAACTCTTCAAACTGCTCACCTTACTCTGAACTTGATTTCCTTAGTAATGATGTTTAAAATTATTTCTGTAAGTATATGCATTCCTTATTCTGGTAAATTATTTTACAGGAAACAGATCAATAACATGAACATATTCATGACTATCTGGAGTTTAGTTTTTTGTTTTTTTGAGATAGTGGTGTAGGTTTTATTTTTTAGGATTCTCCCAAGACCAAGGCTGGAGTGGGACTCAGCCTAGGGTCTGTGGTATCTAGGAGACAACCATGTCTAGTTCTTCATACCACAGGAGTTGACATGAGTTTGGGGCATGCTGAGTGTGGTTCTACTACAAGTCCATAGGGTATCCCAGATTCAGCCTTGACTTTCAAGGTTTCTCAAAACTCCCCTCATTCTAACCTGCACCACTCCAGGCAAGACAAGCTTCCCACATGAAATGAGTGATGGTCATTTGATTTCTCAGAAGTAATCAGCTTATCATGACGTTTTGAAAACGACTTCAGTGTCTTATTCAAAAATAAAAGTTGCTCAAAATTTATCAAGTGTCCAATTACGTATTACTGTCTGTTCTTAATGAGTCCTTAAGGACTTTGCATTCCAACTGGAGACAGCAACACGGGATATGAAGAGAACTGAACAGAGTCACCAACAAATCAGAGACACTCCACTGGCCAGCAGTGTATCATGGGATACGTCAAAATTATAAAAGAAAAAAACCCAGAATCAATAGCTATTTGACATAAGAGAAGATAGTGTGAATGTGCTTAATACTATCAAACTGTATACTTAAAAACGGTTAAGATGGTAAATTTTATGTCATATATATTCTTTAACACAATTAAAAAAATTTTAAAGTGAGAAAAATTAAAAATAGGTTAATCAAGAATACTTCAACTTGCAAAAACTACAGAGATTCTCAGCCCTAGGCTAATAAGGTGTGTTGGGGGCTTGGTGGTAGGACAAACGAGGTAGAAGAGCCAGTTCACTAGACACCCAGTCAACTGTTGAAATGGGACTGACATGGTCTCAGTTAGGTGGACACCACCTTAGGGCTTGTAGAGTCATTGGAAAGGAAGTGGAGAAAAGCAATTGAAAGCAAGGAGGGTTATTTATGTTTTTTGGCAGAGAAATATCAAGGCAACAGTGGATCTCTCCTGAGTGGTGACACACAGGTGAATGTTTTCACAATGCACAAATCAACAGACCACAGATTTAAAATTCCGTATTTTTCAAAGCTTTAAAAATATTTCTACTGATAAGATGCAATCCAAGTTCCTAATAAATAGACACCGAGCAGAGTAGCCTGAGGAGTTGGAATTGATGCTCATGCAGAAGTGCGAGAGCTGGTAAGGAAGACTCGGTAATGTTGGGGAACAGACTAAACATCTACTTTCTGGGTTTAACGGCATCACATGCAGTTATCACCCGTTCAGAATGAACTTCAGAATTGCTACTGATTCACCAGCCTTACAGGAAATCAATGCTGAGACTTGAAAGCCACCCCTAGCACGGGGAGGAGTCTTGCATGTGATGATCTGACATACTTTACACACACTCAAATACTTGAGAGAAGTACGCATTCCGAAGGCCTTTCTGAAAACTATCCTACTCTATAGATGAAAACAATAAAGACCTTGTCGATAATAAGCTGACATTAACTGAGCACTGGACCACGTGACTTCCACGGACTAGTCCATTAACCTTCCCCATCTTCAGAAGTAGTTCTGTTATTCTCCTGGGTTCACAAATAAGGAAACCAAGACTTACAGAGATTTCGTGATGCATGCAAGGTTACACAGCTAGTAGGTGGCAGAGCAAGGATACAAACTTGGGCAGTCGGACTCTAGACTACCATCCACGGCAGGACGCGGCAGTTGAAAAGATTAAAGTCACATGGGCTTAAACATAGTTCTCTGGATCCAGTCTCCAGGCAGGACTCCCCTGTTCCCCAGGTCAGATTTCTTGTGTAGATGCACCTGGAGCTTATTAAGCATATGTGCCCTGGAACTTGGTGGCCTGGGCTGGATTCCTAGTTCTGCAGCTCCTGACTCTGTGATATTGGGTCAGTACTACCCTCTCTGCCCTTTAGTTTTCTCAACTCTAAAGTATGGATATTAACAGAACACGCTTGGTGGAATTATTTGAGGTTTCATGAGGTTAATATATATTAAGCCCTTAGTGCCAAGAACATACTGAGTACTTGGTAGGTATCAGCTACTATTCTCTTTTTCCTTGTTTAAGATGAAAATCATCAGAAAGTAACTACAATTCAGATGATTTCTTTAAAGTTTATATAACAAGGTTCAAAAGACTCTAACAGAACTTTCTCAGGTCATAATGTTTCTGAGTCATTTGAGAAAGAAAGTTGAAAGCTTAGGAAAATGGCAAAGTAAAAATCTTAATTGACTAAGTTAAAAGTAGAAAATATCAACATAATTCAACAGATTATTCCTTTTGTGTCAATTACAAAAGTCAAGGTAAGGATTCTCATCATGATACATCGGCAACTAAAGCTTCAATTTACCAGGCATCAATGAGACAGAAACATCTAATCACTGCATTCATTCAGTTTCCAATACTCACACTAGAGTTGGCAAAAATTGAATTTGAATTGGCTGCAGAATATCCTGTATTAGTCAGGTCCTCATTGCTCTGCAAAGGTACAAATTTTAAAAAATGATCAATTTAACTGTAAAGAAGAAATGAAATGTATGCCTGTGATGTTCTGAGTATTACTTACCGATTTGTTACTAGGTCCATGTAGAAAATAGTTCAATGCTTGTGGGTCTCTAGAAAACCACCACCAAAAAGGGAAAACAACAAATAAATACATTACTTATATAGGGTTCATTTTTACTAGGGTAAAAAGAAAATGACGTATTAGCTTGAGTAAAATCCCTTCCCTTTTTTAAAACTATTAGTTGTTTTTTTGTTTGCTTGTTTGTTTGTTTTGTTTTGTTTTGATGTCCCATTTCCTATTATCACTCATTTCCTCCTAGGGTTTCTGAGGAAATAAATTTAATAAAGGATTACCTAATTATGACCCCGTGTTAATCCATGTCACTTTGTCTCCCTACTATACCCAAGATGATTATTTAATTTTTGTTTAAAAGACCCACTTGGTTTTGATATGCTTATTAGATTGTTTCAGTCTAGCAAATCTCACACATTTGATTTACTCTGATTTGGGAGCAAGCATCTTACCCAATAAGATCAAGGAGACACGAGTCATCATCATCATCCATGACAACTACAAGAGAAAGAAACAAGAAAGCACTGTTTCAGCAAAGCAGATTAAAGTCAGCAGCATCAAAGCACCACGAAAACATACTTCCTACTTTCCTCGATAAATAACTGTAATTCATGTAAGTTTTCCCTCTAATTGCTAATATGAATGTGATTTTTAATTTTTTGTGGTCATTCAAGAGATCGAGTATTCAATTTAAATTGTTTGTATTGAACACAAATCCTTAACTTACAAGTCAAAAAGGAATCTAGACAAATCAAAGATAGTTGGCAGTAACCCCTCACATGCAGATTCCCCAAAGGGGCGGTAAACCATGAACAGTAACTTCCTCAAAATGTATAACGAACAAGAGGAGAAATCATGTTTTTTTTGTTTCAGAAAAAAATCTCATGCATACAGAGGTCTTTGAATTTTGTGACTGGATGTTTCCAAACCTGGTGAGCAATCTGGGTTTCTAGCCAGATTTGGGCTATCTTTAGGAAAACAGAAAAGTCACTTCTCCCTACTTTTTGAGACAGGAGAGGCACCATCACCCCAGGCAGTACTGTGACAGGCTTTGCCCCGAAGATCCCAAGTTCCTCCTTCAGCAGCAGCAGTGCCAACTGTTCAGTTCTAAACAATCTATATCCCAATGCCGGAATCTTTAAAGTCGAAAATCTCAACCCCAAATTCACCCCAGCTCCAAGCCCAAAGCTCCCTCTCTCCCCAGCCATCAGCAGCCTCAGGCTCAGCCAGCGCAATCACTGTGCTCTGGCTGAAACAACAACAACTGTACAAATTCCAAGAGCAGTTCATCCCCCTTCCTTTCTCCTCCCTCCCCCGAGGTCCGGGAAACTTACACTAGTGATCCGACACCTGGCAACACTGCTTCGCACCCATTTCGAGCCATGCGTGGAATAATTTACATCACGGAATGCCAAGGCCAAGAGTTCTGGAGCCGTTGGAAAGGGCAGTTGTGAACGGCAGTTGGACGGAGGAATGAAATCCTGAAGAGATGCCCAGAAGAGGGACACACCCGAAGAAGGCAGAGGCAGAGTTTCTACTAAGTGTTTTTTCTCGGTTAAAGCAGCCATCTCCTCTCCAATCGTCCCCCAACTTCCCATCCTATCAGTCACAAGGCCAAACAAATATAAAATTTACTCCTGCCACACGGAAGGAAACTTGTTTTCCTCAGGAAGGGTCTGGAAGGGGTAAGTATCCCCCAATGTGGGACCTTCCCATTGGTGGGTGAATTGGTTCAGTTGCTGAATGATCCGATGGTTACAACTCATCTGAATGGACAGTCAGTGGAAAGGAAGATGATGGGTGAGGCAGGAGGAAGTTAAGAGTGGGGAAAGCTTATCAAGTGTAACATCCCTGGCCAAAGCTAAAAGGGGCAGCTGGTAAGTGAAATTCGTTTCCAGGACTCAGATACTGAGTTACGCAGGGGCATGCCAGCATGACTCTACCAACATGACTTTTGAGTGGAAATGGAACAGGAAGGAAAAAAGAGGAAAATGACCACTAAGTAGATATGTAGAATCTGTGTGAGGGTCTTCCCTTAAATCCTAGTATTTAATATGTAGAATTGCATTAGCTGTTGCTCATAACGGTACCCCAGGCCTGTCTCCCAGACATCATAATCACATGGACTATATTAGCCAACAGTAACATATAATTAAGCCTATAAATAAAGGGGATATTATTTCTTTACTTCAACATGGCCAGTTAAATGGAGCTCCACTGTATCCTTTGTAAATTTATTTTTTAAGTGTCTAACAGTCTCCAGAACAAACTAATTAATAAAAGCATATGTGAAAAACAGCTTACATCAAAGAAAAACCCTTTCATGACTGTCCCAGCTTTGCTCCCTATTTTACATCTGCACCTAACTCCTCCAGTGGACGAGATGCCCAAGGGTTAACACGCAAACTGAGAGAGGAAGTTAGCACCAGTCCCTCCTCTGAGGTGTTACTGCCACCAGGACTTCAAAGCACAGAGCACATTTGCTACCTCAAAGTTCAAAGTGACAAGCTACCCTTTGAATAGCCCAAGTAAAAGAACAATTTTATAATATTGGATGAAATGAAAAGCCATTGCACATCCCTCCCCAAATCAAACCAGGTGGCTCAAACACTTGGCAGAACGCTCCTTGGGCGCACGAGCCCTACCCAGTGGCATCAGTCTACCAGACAGGCCTCCTCCTCCAGTCCCACTTGCGTAGAACTCGACGAGCCATTATAGTCAGTGGTACCCTGAGAATTCTACTTTTTAAATGGCCACACCCTTTTTTGACTAAACAGTTTTACATTAGGCAAGATGACTCTTATCCTTCCACCCCAGCTCTTCATCGTGCCAGACAGTCATAATACCACCCAAGTGTGCAGGTCTTTTCCCCAGGAGGACACACGGCCCACCAAAGGAAATCTACCAATGTAAAGTTGTAGAAATCGACTACGATTCTAAAGTGGGAAAACAACCTGAGGATCAGAAACTAATGACTTAAAAGTGAAGAGCTTAGTTTTCTTTGGAAAGATTCTCCCTTTACTTCTGAACTCTTGTTGAGGCTCTTTTCTCATTAAAGTGACAACCTTGGATTTACGAGGTGGCTCTCTGGCCACAGGTGACATTTATAAGGCTGTGTGAAAGATGAGGCCCCCCCAAGGGGAAATTCCTGGATCAGTGGTTTAAAACTACTTCTTGGCCCAAAACACTTGAGCAAGACACATCCCCTCAGTAGTAGCAGCTTACGGCAGCAGGATTATGTCAGGGAGAGAAGGGGGCTGTGGTTCGTACAGGATCCTGACAGGCACGCTGAGAGATCAGAAATCACTACCCTAGACACCTGAGTACCACTCTAACAAAATTAAAGTTAATATTTAAAATTGCTCTTACTATCCTTAATCAAGAGGACACAGTATAAAAAGTGACATTTCAAATCAGTGGGGGTAAGACTTTAGCTGTCTAAAGAAAAGAAGGCAGACTCAGACTTCACGTCTAACACAAAACCAAATTCCAGATGCATCTAAGAGTTAAATGTGGGGGAGGGAGGAGAGCCTTAAAGTACTAGAAAAACACATGGGAGAATTTTGTTTTTATAATCTTGGACTAGGGAAAGTTTAAGGGTGTCACAAGATGCAGAAGTCATAAAAGACAGACAAATTTCATGATAAAAAATTTTTAAATTCTTCATGATAAAAGAAAAAAACATGAACAAAGTCAAAGATTTTAAAAACCCAAAAAACATAAGTGAGGAAAGTACTTCCAATTCATATCACAAACGGCTTTTCTCCCTAATAAATAAAGAGCTCCTATTAAAAAAATCAGCTATCCTGCAGAAAATCAAAGGTATGAATGATCAGGGAGGAGGGTGTAGCTCAGTGGTAGAGCGCATGCTCAGCATGCACAAGGTCCTGGGTTCAATCCCCAGCACCTCCATTAAAACATAAATATGTAAACCTATTACCCCCCAAACAAACAACAACAACAAAAAGAAATGTATTGGTTTCAAGAACAGTTATTTCAGGAAAGATAGCTAAGCAAATCAATCCTACATTTAAGATATTTTAAATGAGTGGCAATAGAAGAAAACATTAAAAAAGTCATAACACAGGATTTCAAATACTTCACAAAATGAAATTTGGTATGTCACTGCTACAACAAATGTTTCTCTTTTCTTCCTTATATGCTTCTCTGTTCTTCTTCCAAAAACATTACCTAGTGAAAATGATGACTAATAAGCTAAAACTTTAAACGACCACCAAGAGTCAATATAACAGGCTATCTTGCCAACATATGAAAAATTACAGACATTTGCTTTATTTGCATGAATTTGGTATAGCATCAGTATATGCCATAATTTCCAAATCATTTACAAACAGAATTTTAGAAAAAGTGCCAAGGCCAGCAGAGGGATCACTGGGCAAGTCTATTTAAGCAGTCAGGAACTATGGAATGGTTTCAATGTCCTCAGGTGATCACTTCCTGAACTATTAAAGGTATAATGAGCTGCAGTCACTTTCATTTTTACCCACATATTAACCAGTTCCAGTGCCGTTCATTCCTTTGAGTAAATCCAGATTTTCATCTGGTATCATTTTCCTTCTCCTGAAGGATGTCCTTGAGTATCTTTCATAGTGCAGATCTGCCGCTGATGATTTCTTTCAGCTTTCCTATGTCTTTAAAATGTGTTTATTTTGCTTTCATTTTTGAAATGTGTTTCATTGGCATATAGTTCGAGATTGAGTTTTTTTCCTTTTTTTTTTGGTTCTTTAAAGATATTGCTACTGTTTCTTGTTTGCATTATTTCCAAGTAGAATTCTGTTGTCATTCTTATTTTTGTCCTTCGGTACATAATAGGTCTTCCTCCATCACCCACCATGCTTTAAAGATTTTTCTCTTTATCACCAGTTTTAAGTAATTTGATTATGGTATGCCTTGGCATAGTTTTCTTCATGCTTCTTGTGTTTGGGGTTCGTTAAACTTCTAGGATCTATAGGTTTACAATTTTCCTCCAATTTAGAATAATTTCAGCCATTACCTCATTTATTTTGTGCCCCTATCCCTCCTTCAGGGACTCCAATTACCTATGATTATGCTGCTTGAAATAGTTCCACTGCTCACTGTTGCTCTTTTTAAAAAATTGTTGAAGTGTCTTTTTATCTCTCTGGCTTTCATTCAGGACAGCTTCTATTGCTATGTCTTCAAGCACACTAATCTTTCTTCCGCAGTGTCTAATCTGCTTACTAATCCTATCCAATGTATTTGTATTTTCAAACATTGTAGTTTTCATCTCTAGAAACTGGGTCTTCTTGTTTGTTTGTTTAAACATTTTTTATTGAGTTATAGTCATTTTACAATGTTGTG